CATGTACATGGAATAATTATTTTCAACTGTAAATATTTATCATGTATGATTATTTTTCATTACATATATATGATACACAAATTTGGAGAGGATTAATATAAATCTCGATGAGTTAGAGATTAAAAGTCTTCAAATTTCAAGTATTGTTGATCATCCATTATAGATCAATCAAGAATAGAACCGCCGATTCAAATGTCGATGAACAAATGATCGAGTGAACCATCTCTTTGTTGGAGTAAATACTTGGAGTCTGTTACGACAGAGTTTCTGCTTTTGTTCTACTTTTTGTAGAAGGACTTCTAGTGGAAGTTACCTTCTACAAGCTTCCCAAAAACTCATCTAGTTAGACAAAACAATTTAACAAAATTATCCAATATTTTCAAAAGCAATAATTTTTTAGACTACTTAGGGTCCGTTTGGTAGCCATTTTCTTCAAAATCCATTTTCTCCCTCTTCTTTTCAACCACACATTCTTTATTAAGATAATATTACACGTAAATCAAAATTTTTTTCTTATTTTTCAACCACACATTTCACATCAATTTACTATTTTAAAATACATTTGTACATAAAAATGCCTATCAAACATCCCTTATTATGCTTAATTCTGTTGCATTGGTCATTCAAGATTTTGGAAGAACCAAAAACAAACATATTAATGGATGCTACAGAAGAGAAAACACTGTTTTGGGCCTTGGCCCATTTTTGAATGCATTAAACAAGACATGAAAAAAAAGTAAATAGGGGCACCAACTCCTACACTGTTTGGATCATGATCTCAATGAAAAGGTAAATTTCTCTTGGAAATGAAAATCCCATTAATAGCTCATTATGGAGAAAATGACCTAAAATAAATTTTAATTACACTAAAAAAAATGTATTGGTCTTCACTCCTTTCCATGTATTGACAAGTTAGAGCCTGCAGATTAAGGGCTCCATAATTGGTTAATTTATTTCTCCAAGATAATTAATAATTTATTGAATTTCACGCCTTGTCTTATCTTATGATTATTTCGATTCGTTTGGAGTTCTACACCTGACATGTTTAGTTTATTAAATTAAACATTAATGTATTAAAATAGACCAATTTTTACATGATTATGTTCAACCCTATAAAACTGAGCAGATATATATTTATTATCTTTTCCTAATCAAGAAACTTATTGCTTATAATTTCATTATAAGAAATGAAGAAATTATTAGTATACTTTTAAAATCTTAAACATTTATTTAAGAAATGATATGATTTTAGCTTCTTTTTTTTATTATTCTTATTAATAAGTAATATGCGATAGGATACTTTTATTTAAGGAATGATATGATTTTAACTTCTTTTTATTCTTAATAGTAAGTAATAAGCGATAAGATTGTTTACTTCAAGTCTAACGGAATAAAGGATTTTAAATATATTTCTATAAGAGTAAAAACTATTTTCCTGCTTGCATGTGCTAAAAAATTTAAACCAATCCAACTCGAATTATTTAAAACAATTTCTTCCTCTGTGAGATTTTAATTTAAAAAATTTCTGTAACACAAAGTTTAGAAGGTTCGCCACTGAGACAAGATTTATGGGCTCTGAGATTAATGATATTAAATATTAATTAGGCCAGAAACTTTTGAACGTTGAAGATTGACAATTAGTTAGTATAAATATATACCAACTTAACAATTTTTATCTTTAATTATTGGGAGAAACAACATGAAAAGTGGAGCATTTCATGCTAAGATGTCTCCATGAAATTGCCGTTCTATTTTTTTAGACTTGAACTATGATCCCAAGTTTCAAGTACTATTAATTAAATCAATTTTCATCTTGAAGTAGGGATGTAAACGAGCCGGGTCGAGCCGGCTGGCGAGCCTAAAGTTTCGGCTCGGGCTCGGCCCGGTTAAAGTGACCGAGCTTTTTTGCGGGCTCGAGCCGAGCCGAGCAAAAGCTAGGCCAAAAAAAATAGGCTCGGCCCGAGCTTTTGCTCGGGCTTTTTACGGGCCGAGCCGGGCAGGCTCGTTTTCTCCACCCTTTTTTAAAGATCGCGAGCTCACGGGCCGGCTCGGGCAAAGCCCGTGTCCCCAAAATGGGGCTCGGCCCGAGCTTAGGCTCGGGTCTACCGAGCCCCGAGCCGAGCCGACTCGGGCTTTTCCCGAGCCGGCGAGCCCGATTGCCATCCCTATCTTGAAGTGAGTGAATTCATTTAATTTTTCACAACTTATTAAAATAAGAAAAATTGTAGCACTGGTCTCAATCTATTGCTCAAATAGTAATATGGTTCATAAGATATTAAAATAACCAAGTTACTCTGTAACTTTTCATTACAGTTGCACGTCGGTCCTCGGCTATGAAAGTCATCTCGCGAACCATGGATTTCCAACTCTTTGAAACTAGATTTTATTACTCAACTCAAACGGCCCTAGAATTTGGTGCGGCAATAAGAATTACATTACCGTTTATGACTTATTTGGCAAGTTTTTTGAAAGTCAAAAACTACTTTTGATACTATTTTTTATTTGGAGCTTATTTTAATAATATTTTGAAAATGTACGTTTGTTTAAAAAAGTTATCAAATAAAGTTGGCTCAACGTAACTTCATTTTCTGCTAGGCCAAATGAGCTCTGAATAAACATTTGGTTACTTTATATCATTAGAGATTAATTGTGCAATATGTTTAGGATTAATGGTTCAATTCTCTATAAAATTATGTTAATTTCGATGAATTTCTTTATACTTTTTTAAATACATTTATAAGCTGTTACTTAAACCCATATTAGTAGTATAATTCGTTTAACTTCATGTTCAATAATGTCAAATCTCCATAGTCACTGAAGATACTAAGCTCTTTAGGAATGAATCCTTCCCTGCATGTATTGTTTTCCAGTCTATAATTTAAATCAGATTCACATGTACAATAACACTCCAGTGACCACATTCTCCCTCGTCCATAAGAATATCTTGTTTTTTCCTCTAACTCTTGGCTGCTTAGCTTTGCATACACAACAAGGATTCAAATTGCTTTATCCAGTGAGGACTGAGGCCTGTGAAGATAAGATAACCTACTTTAAAATCCTACATACTACATCATCCACGTGGTACCATTCATGAACCATGTCAGCACATTTAAAATAAAACTTGGCTATTATTACTATAATAAATTACAATCTCGGGATATCAGAAATTTATGAGTTACCAAGTTCAACACTCTCACCAACCAAATAGACATACGAACATCAGTTGATCGTTCTATCCAGCTAAGAAAGCTGTCGCATAATTATTGAAATTCTGTGGGACTTCCTGCATAAAACTAACTTGACTATTGGAGTTGGGTCGACCATCACATCTTATTCTAGTTGTCACTAGTCGAATAAACCAACCTGCCTATTGTTTTGCAGTTTATACAGATTTCAAGCAACAGACCTAGACTAGGAATTCTTTTTTTAATTTCGTACATCAACAAAATCCTTTTCTTAATTTATTTTATTTTATTTTTTTCTAATTTCATCCAAAAAAAGGTAGAAAAAGAAAGGAAATGGTAACCCTGATCAGAAAAAGTGTTAGCAGTACACAAATATTTTGTTTTTGCCCAGTTTATAATAGAAATATTTCTAACTCTTGAAAAAGATCTCTTGCCCATGTTCTAGTTAACATTTATATGAATGTATTTTTTCTCATATTCTGGTCCATGATAATGCTGCAGATATAAACAGGACCACCTTATTTCATCCTCAGTCTTGTTGCTATCAAATGATAGCTACTCTCCAATTTGAATTCAAAAGCAAACATCACCCCTATTAATGCTAATATTGCTGTAAAATAACCCTTGTGTATTTAGTATGTCCTATGGTTCATTTCAAAAAGAAACAGAAATAAGGGTTTGTTTGATTGGTTTGAATTTCATGGAAATTGGAATTGGAATTCCACCTTCCAATTTTGTGCATTTGATAGGTTTTATTTTTCATGGAATTCGGTTTTCTTGTTTGTCTTGGAAATTGGTATTGGTGGGAATTGGTTCTCCAACTTACTGTTTACGTTTTTTTTTCTTTTTTTTGTAGTGAAAAGAAATTCAAAAAATTATTTTAAAAAAATATTTCCCTTTAATTGATAATTTTCATTTAAAACAAAGTCAAACGAAAATCAAAATATAGATTTTTTTTTTGTGGCAATGGAAACAAATTCTATCATCAATACCAGTAAATTTGATCCCTTTAATTGATAATTTTTATGTAAAATAAAGTCAAACGAATCCCAAAAAATACTTTTATATCAAAATTTTCCACATGGAAAATTATACCAATCAAACACAAAAATTGACAATTCCCAAGAAAATAATTTTTAGGCAATTCAATTTCCCGAAATTCGTTTTCTTTCCATCAAAATTTTATCTTTGCAATCAAACGGACCCTAATTACATACATTCAAATTCTAGGTCGCAAGAGAGCCCAATTGGAAATTGTTGGAGACTATATTTAAATAAATAAATATGGCTGTTTAACAACTTAAGATTCTAGGTTAATCAAATCTTATCATCGTGTATATAAAAATTTTGCATGTGTTAGGCTTCGATGAGAAGAAGGCCAAAGGCACGTGAGAGGGTGTTTTCAAGAACTCAATTTTAAATAAATATGTTGACATAATGAGGTTCAACGGGAATCAAGATTCAAGCACAAAATTCATTTTAGAATAGTATTGGTTTGTGCAAGTGTATAAACATTTGAGAAGAGTTATTGATGTTCAAGCGTTGTCATCGTTAAAGATGTACGTTTGTCAAAGTAAATTATCGGACCTCAGCCGGTATCTATAGATTCTAGGGTACGGAAAGAGGGACGTCCTACAACTATGACCAGGTATTATACGATGAATATGAGCACAATATTTACGAAACTTGCATCTAAACATGCTTAAACATAAAAATAAAAAATAATCACAACATGGGATTCAGCATGATAGTGATTGAACAGTTGAAACGAGATTTTCGTAACAACTAGGCTTATCGTTCATATACAAACAGTGATTATTACAGTGACTTATTTTTGCACTGTTAAATCAGAAAACTGTATCAAGCATGGAAGAAGTAGATGTGTTCTAGCAATCAGCACAAGACAGACAAAGAATTTCCTGATAGAGCAAAAAAACATTGTTATCAATTTCTGGGAACAGTAATTTTCATAACAAAAATCAAAAAACTGTCATCTTCAACTAATTCTCTACAGTTTTTCCTTAAAATTTTCAAACAATCAAACATCTAGAGGCAAGATTGTGTTTGAACTGGACGCGTGCTGAATAATGACTAATTCAGATGAAGAGGTGCCAACATTTTTCTCGGTGATCTGATCTTCATTTTCCAAGGAAGATAAACAAGGACTAGTGAATGAATTAGTAGAAGAAGAAAATGAAAAAGGAGAAGTGAAAGAATATTGTGTGGCAGCAGAAGAAGAAGAACAGTGCTCATGGTCTGTGGAAGAAGTTGAAGAATTTGAGGCCAAGAATTCAAGATGAACCAATAAATCAACAAAAGCTCCAACAATATACCCATGATTTTTCTTGGAATTAACTCTCAAATAGCAAGTTAAAAGTTCTTCAAGAAATTCCCAATTCTTCAATCCATAGGCCTCCACCATTTCCTCCATTGATAATCTGAAATCCACAGAGGGATCCCTGGATTCCATAGCCATTACTGCACTTTCTTTATAAGGAAAAGATTCATCAGTTTTGGCTTCTTCCAGGATTGAACTAGTCTCTGCAGGCTCAAAAAACAACCTATCTGATCTTAAATCTCGAATCACCCTCTCGATATTCGAATCATCATTTCTTGATGCAATTGAAAAACTTTCATCATGAGAGTTGCTAATGCTAAAAGCTGAATCCGGAGTGTCAAGAATTTCTTCAATTGCGGTTTTGTCGAGGTAGGCAGAATTCATAGTCTTGAATATCTCATTGTTGTTGGCTCGGAAAGAAAGGGTTTTTGGGTTGTTGACACAAGTTGGCCATGGCCATGAAGAACTGGTGGCGGTGGTTTCGGTGGCTTTGAAAAGAAAAGGAAATTTAAGTTTTTTGCCCATTATCTAAGGTAGGGTGGGCATTGAACTGAGGAGAAATATGATTTGAAATTCGCGTTTATTGTAAAAGCCTTAAAGCTTCGATAGGGTAATTAATGGCAGATTTGAAAAGAGTGAAAGAATTGGGACGACGAAGAGAAGGTTGGTGGGGTCATAATTATATTTCGAAATAAGAACTAAAGAGGAGAAATGCTCCCTTGAAAACAAACGGGAGTTTATTTGGGTACCGTATTTATTTTACTTTCCTTTTTAGCAAAATAAGTAATTTAAAAGTTCTTTAACAATTTATCACTTACAAGCACACTAAAAAATGTTTAAGCTTGGTTTGCATTTTAATTTTAAATTTTAAATTCTTTTTCAATTTTCTATTTAGGTTTTTTATTTTTTTTAATATTGGAAATAACACAGAAAACGCATTTTAATTGAACACCTTTTTTTCTGGAAATAATGGATTATTTGGGTGGGTAGGAATTGTCATTGTAAGGAGAAATCGGATTACTTTTATTTTGAGTATTTTGAGTATAATCACAAAATATATTTTGTGTTATGAAAAGAGAGAAGAATAATTAATAGACTTGTGTGTTTTATTAAGAATTAAAACCCTATATTTATAGAGAAGAAGGAGGGATATAACGGTAATAATTTTTAGGATTGTAGAGATACAATTGTAATTCGTTACTAAATTTACCATTTATAATACTCCTTCTTGAATGACGCATAACAAAATATCGTCTCGTTAAAACATTGTTTGATAAAAATTCAATGGGACAAAAAAATATCAAACGAAGAAAAAAGAGTACAATTATTTTGGAGTAATAAAAATAAATGCTCACTTATTAAATATTGTTAGGAAAATCTAATAGGATAAAACTTAAGCGAAGGAAAAAAAAAAAGTACAACAACTCCTGATGATGTTGATCACTGAAAATCTTTAAGTCAATGCATTCCAATATCATAAACAAATTTCTTCAATGTAGATGTCAACAATATTTTTGTAAATAAATAGCCACATTGTCACTTGAGCAAATTTGTTGGATATCGATTTTACCATTCTTTTAAAACTCATGTCAATAAAAGAATTTTGAAGAAATATGTTTCGTCCTGTCATCTTTAAATATAGTCCCTTTTGAGTTGTGCAGTACAAGTTGCATTATCTTCATACAAAATTGTTAAAATATCTTTTGTTGAAGTTAACCCACATGATGCTTGAAAATGATGGGTCATGTTCCTTAGCCATACACATTCTCACATGTTTCGTGAATTGCAATAATTTCAAAATGACTTGAAGATGTTGTTGTCAAAGATTACTTCACAGATCTCCATGATATGACTATTTTCTCATGTGTAAACATATATCCTGTTTGTAATTTAACTTTATGTGGGTCAAATAGATAATCTGAATCTGCATTGAAAGCCCAAAAATAGCTAACTAAGAGAGGATAAATTGGTTATTTGAAACCTTTTTGAAAATAATCATAATCTTAAACAAATAACAAATCAATTAATACTCAAGTAAGATAACACAAATAAGAAAGTAATAAATAAAAGGGAAGAGAATGTGCAAACGATGTAATTATGGAGGTTCGATCCAATCAACGGTTCCCCATTACCAAGCTTTCTATTACGAGCAAGGAATTTTTCACTATTGTTGATTGACTTATTAGCAATCCAACCCTTACAACACTTCCAATAACTTACAACAAAGGAGCACCGATCCATTTATAACATTGACATTTTCGAGACTTCAATACGACCCACAATCGAACAAGAAAAATGATATTACAAGTAAAAGCTTCTTTCTTAATAAAGATATGATCACAATCAAGTATCAACAGGGAAATAGGCTAACGCTTCAATAAATAGCAATAAGTATAGCTCAAGTGTTGGTTGTTGAAAAATTTTGATGAGATAAAAGATTTTCACAAATCTGATTATTCAAAAAGTTTTTCAAAAGATAAATATTTTGATTTTCTAAAGATTGAAAACAAAGTAGTTGAGATCAATAAAAAGCTTCACTTAAATACTCAAGGAAAGTCTATCAATGAAGGCAAAGTGAGATGGTATTTATAGTTGAAAAATAGTTAAAAGTCTGTCCAACCGGACGCCTTCTATCGGATGCCTGCTAGAGTACCCGACAGTGCAGTAGCCATTGTAAGTCAGAATTCAGAACGGTCAAAAATTTTTATTGTCAGACTTGCTGGACGTCTACTACGGCAGATATTCCACAACTTCCTTATTTTATGGTTTTGACAAATATAATCTTTTGAAGGTTGTTTTTACTTGATTTTTCAAGGTATATGACACTATTCAAACTTAAGATTGAAATCTTTACCTTTGAAAAATAGTCTTTTTACAAACGTTTTGGTTACGTGATTATTTTCGTGCATAAAATAAATTTTGAGCTTTTTACGATTCATTGCCAAATACCAAAGCTTAGTACCTTTACATATGAGATTAATATGTATAAGTCTAATATCTCCAATGAAACTCTTCATTGTGCATGCTAAATTACATTTTGTCATTTATCTCGATAGTAATCTTCACAATTTTTATACCGATTTCATGTCAATTGTCACTTGCAAATCACCTTGTTTTGAACATGTGTCTTCAATATTTTCTATCAATACTTGAATTCAATTTATTAGAAATAAACACAATTTATTTGTGATAATCAAAACGAGAAGTCAACCAAAGGTCAACATGCATATCTCACTAAAGTAAATCTCAACTTTTGAGAATATAATAATTTTGAATCAACAGTTCACTTTTTAAGTAACTAAAAATAGGTTTAACACCATTCCAATGTCTTGAAGTTGGTATAGAGCTATATATTACAATGAGATTTATAGAAAAAGTTATGTCAGATCGATTTCAGTTTGCAAGATAAGTTAATACTCCAATTACACTAAAATATGTTACTTCAGGACCAAGAATATTTTCTCAATCTTCAAGTAAACGATATAGATCTTTTTCATATCAAGTGATTGAACAACGATAGATGATGCTAATCAATGTACATTATTCATATAAAAACTTTTAAAACTTTTTATGTATATGTAGACTGATAAACAAATAATCATTCTAGGAAGTGTTTAATATGTAACCCAAGAAAAATTTTGATTTTTTTCTAAATCTTTCATCTCAAATTCATTTATCAAATAATCAGTAGTTTTGTAGAGCTCTTTAGAAATTTCAATTAAATTTAAATCATTAACATAAACTGCCATAATTGTAAATCAAATATTTGTTTTCTTTATAAAAACATATAGGCAGACATCGCCATTTTATAGCATTCCTTCAACAAATATTCTCTAATGCCATTATACTATATGTGTCCATTTTATTTGGTCAATTATTACTTCGATCGATATATTTCAATGCATTTATCCCTGTTTCAGCTCTATTAAATTTATAATACATTTTTCTCCCTTTTTTTTTCATCACATATTCTCCAATAAAGAAATATTACAAATAAATAAAAAAAACTTTTTATTCTTTTTCAACCACACATTTTTCAAAAAAATACTTTCCAAAAATAATAACATCAAATAATGGGACCAAATGAGGGCTTATTTTGATTCCTCACTATTTGATGCAGTACATCATGCGCAAAATTATTGTCGACGATTTTTTCTTTTTGATTCTATTTCTTTTTCCATAATAATGCTAACAAATTGTCATCATAAATTTCAATTCATATTGGAGTATTTAAAACTAGTGCGTGAGATATTGTTTATCTCTTTGATCAGTAAATTCATCTAAATAAATTATCTTTCGAACTTCTAGGTTGAATGATATTTTGTGAGGATTTAGATGATGATGCATTTATACATTATTTTAAATTCTTAATTCCTTCCTCTAATGCTGAGAGAATTGTCCAATCAAATTATCAAACATTTTTTCAGTATTATAAAATATCGCCAATTTTGGGATAAGAGTTCGAACTACACATTTATTCTGAACATTCTTTATTTTTCATCTCATTATATTGTGGTGGTTCAATTTTACATATACCATACTATTAAAATAGTTAGTGAAAAAAATTAAGCTCTGGCCATAAACTAATTATAATAGGGAGAACTATGATGTTGGCATAATATTTAATAGAATTTTGTGAACAAAAATGGAAAGTACTTTGTTTTCAATTAAATTAATTAGAGGCGTTTAACAAATCACAGTATTAAACCATTTATCGACATTCTAACTAACACTAACTAACTTTGATTAATTAGAGGCGTTTAACAAATCATAGTATTAAACCATTTATCGACATCCTAACTAACACTTATTAAAATGTTGAGATTATATCTACTAGCACTAATAAGCCACAATTTTGATTATATATAATATAAAAATTATGCTCATAATTTAAAATTTGAGCAATAATTTCATAAATTTCAAGCTGCATCACCATGCAATCATCTAGTATATGTATCAAATCAATTAGATATAAATAATATTTAGATGATCAACGTGGAGAATGATGAGACCCATTTATTGCCCATATTAATTTTCAAAAATATAAGGAATTCAGTTCCTTTTTTGGCTAATAATGACTAATGAAAAAATTTGCATGAAAGAGAACAAACATCATATAGGATTGAGTTGAAGAATTTTCTGGTTCTTCATTGAATATTCATTTGATTTTTTAAGTTCGGATCATTATTAATCAAATGATGATCCAACTGATCATTCTAAACAATAAAGTCAAATTAACTTCTAGTTCAATATAAAATATAATTAGATAATTTAATTTCGAAGAATAAAATTAAAAATTATATAATCATATAACATTCAAATAGTCAAATTAATCAATGTTCTCATGACATTAATTATATGTTTTTTTCAAGGATAAGCATAAAATCAAAATGTTATATATTCTTCGAAATTGTGCTATTTTGTGAGCATATTATCTTTAATTATTACTTCTTCAAAAGCAATATGTCAATATTTTTCTGTAATATTAAAAATTATAATTCATACCCTTCGAGGACAATAAATTAATATTATTTTAAATATTAATAATATAGAAAATCAGTTTTTTTTTTGAAAAAAAATTACAACTCATTATTGAGTTGTTTAATTTGTATTTTTTCATGAATACATCGAGATATAGCCTCGATTTGGCCTCCATTAAATTAAATTTCATTTTTCTCTCTCTTATTTTCAATCACACAATCTTT